CACACACACACACACACACACACACACACACACACACACACACACACACACACACACACACACACACACACACTCATCTAACAAATGAACTGAACACAGCAGACCTGACATCAATCATATACCAAAATCAAGACATTAAAGAGAAACGCAGTCTGTATCATGTACTCATGCTTCACTCCTCTCAAACCTGTCGAGTCTCTCATGTTGAAAAATAAAGACGATATTAAGGTTTTGTTATTTGATATTTGATTTAGCCATTGATTTCAGTATTATTTTTATATTTCCTGTTTCTGTTAAGATAAAACATCTTAAAGGCCTCACAGAGGTTTGAAACCACTTGAGGGAGAGTAAACGATGGGTAAATGTTCATTTCAGGGTGAACTATCACCTGTCCTCTTTAAGCTGTGGACATGTTGTTTTGGGTTTTTCCTTCACTCAACTTTGTGCATAAACACAAGTTTTTTTTTTTTAAACGAGAACTGGAACTTAATTTAAAAACCATCACAGACTCTCACAACAAGAAAGCTATTAAAACATATAAAACATGTGCTTTATTTAATATTCTGCATTCATTTGTTGTATTCTTGTCATGTGCCCTCATTCATTTCTTTTAGTGTCTTTCTTTCTCTCTCTTTGTCTTTCTTTTGCTTTACCTATATTAATTTTAAAATTGTCACATTTCCCTTGTTGCAAAAAAGTTATATTTGTATTGCTTGTACCATACTTACTGCAATAAAAAAACGATCACCTATCACTTTAAATCTGAATACTACTGTTTACAGTGTTGCCTACAGTGTATCCTACATTCACACTAGAGGCGCTGACTGCTTTAATGTCACTTTAAAATAGAAGAACAAATATTTCGGCTAGAATAAAATCAGTTTTTAATTTTTTAAAAGCCATTTTAAGGTCAATATTATTAGCCCCTCAAAGCTATATTTTTTTCCAACTGTCTACAGAACAAACCACTGTTATACAATAACTTGCCTAATTACTCTAACCTGCCTAGTTACCCTAATTACCCTAGTGAAGCCTTTAATGTCACTTTAGACTGTATAAAAGTGTCTTGAAGAATATCTAGTCTAATATTATTTACTGTCATCATGACAAAGAGATATATCTTCATATATATGTGTATATATATATACATATATATATATATATATATATATATATATATATATATATATATATATATATATATATATATATATATATATATATATATATATATATATATATATATATATATATATATATATATATATATATATATATATATATATATATATATATATATATATATATATATATAGATATAGATATATATGTAATTAGTTTCTGTATTTTACACAAGCTACATGCATGAGTGTAAACCCTGTTGCGCTAATGAGCGTCTGATACTGTAGGCTAAGCAAGAAGGCATACATCTACATCCTGAAGTTAACCAGTATTATTTATATCAGGGCTCAAACTTATTCCTGGAGGGCCGGTGTCCTGCAGATTTTAGATCCAACCCTACGCAAACACAACCCGAACAAGCTAATTAGGGTCTTACTAGGTATACTTGAAACACCCAGGCAGGTGTGTTGAGGCAAGTTGGAGCTAAACCCTGCAGGGCACCGGACCTCCAGGACTGAGATTCGTGACCCCTGCTTTATATTATTTATTAAATTACGCATTAAATCGTATTTTATTTACATCTAACCCCACCTCAACCCTCACAGTAATGTAAAAACAATACTTATAGTGAGAATTACTCGTATAATATATTAAATTATCCATTAGATTGTATTTGATTATCATCTACCTCTACTCCAACACATAACCAAACGTAAACTGTAATTATACCGAGAATTATTAATATTATTGAATTAAAAACCTTTAAATTGTATTATAATCAACGTCTACCCCCATCACAACCCTCACAGTAATGTAAAAATATGAATTATTGTGACGTGTAGTGTCCGCAGCTGTATCCCTTTTGGACTTCACCTCATCCGCGTGCACATTGGTAAGGTTTAAAAGGGATACCGCTGCGGATGCTCGAGTAGCAAAATTTTTGTGCCCCTGTACAACAATAATCAATATTTTTACAATACTGGGGGTATTGGGGAAGTTTAAATACATAACAAATAATCCTCGTTAACTTCCTGCTACAGCTGTATTTATTGTTTATTTGAACGCAGCTGTATCCCTTTAAAACATTTCTGAGCGCTGATGACGGTGTATTTACATGATGTGGGCGGAGGCATACGAATCACGTGATACGCGGCTCTGCCCTTAAATACGTCACGGCAGTTGCTCCTGCAAAACAACACGTACGAGCCGAGCGCCGTTAATCAGATCAGATCGGATCGTGCGCTCCGGTAACCGTCACGGAAACGGACGGCTCTCCTGTATGTTCTGAACACTTTCTGTCTGCGGTAAACACGGTCCTGCGGTAAACTCGATGGATAGCGGCGGGTGTCGGATGAACGGCGGCGGCGGAGGACTAGACATGATCAGCCTGGAGGATCTGGAGTCGGTGTCGGAGGAGCAGCTGGAGCTGGAGGAACCGGAACCGGAGATGGAGGAGGAGGATCTAGATCAGGGCGGCAGACTCCTGCAGTACTGGAGGGACGCGGCCCGCGGACACCAGGTGGAGGTGCCGACAGGTACACAAGCACCAACTTACACCAACAACAACACTGACACACTCACACACACACACACATAGACAAACAGACGGACAGACACGCACACACACTTTAAACTTTTAATAAACACTTAATAGACAAACATAGATCTGACACACACACACACACACACTTAATAAACACTCCAGGAATCAGGAAACACATGTACGCACACACACTTTTAGTAAACAGTAGTTATGAACCACACACACACACACACACACACACACACACACGCTTTACATACACTTTATAAATGAGCTATGAATCAGACCCACACATGCACACACACTTAATAAACAATAAATATGTGTTAATATGTGTTATGAATCGACACGCACAAACACACACGCTTTTATTTAACACTTAAATATGCATTATGAATCAGACACACAAACATGCACACACACACACTTTTAATAAACAATAAATATGCGTTATGAATCTGACACACACATGCACTGACACTTTTAATAAACAGTAGTTATCAATCAGACACACACACAAACATGCACACACACTTAATAAACACTTTATAACTATGCGTTATGAATCAGACACACACACACACACTTAATAAACACTTTATAACTATGCGTTATGAATCAGACACACACACACACACACTTAATAAACACTTTATAACTATGCATTATTGATCTGAGACACACACACACACACTAAAAAAACTTGCACTATAAATCTGACACAAAGAGCATGACTAATGCACACACATGTGGTCTAGGTAGTGCGCTTGTGAACAGATCTGAGATCAGCAGCTGTAATGTGGCTCACACCAGTGTAAAACTGCACAAACACCACAAATACACACAATTATACCACCACTGCAGTCAGTTCAGTTTCACTGTTGTGTTTGCACACGCACACACACACACACACACACACACACACACACACACACACACACACACACACACTACAGATATCTGTAAACATGTTTAGGCTAGTGTACTTCACAGTCATATAATATGTGAATATTTTACACAGTTGTTGCTGTAAAAAGATGAATCGCGCTGATGAGGGTTAATAAAGGGTCAGTTCACCCAAACATCTGAACTCGCTCATCATTTACTCTCACCCTGATCTAAACCTTTATGAGCGTCTCTCTGCAGTTGAACACAGAAGAAGATATTTTGAAGAATGCACTGACTTCCATAGTATGTGTTTCCTACTGTACAAGTCAATGGTTACCGGTTTTCAGCATTCCTCACAATATCTTCTTCTGTGTTCAACTGCAGAAAGACACTCATAAAGGTTTGGAAACACTTGACAGAACAGTTCAATAATCTCAGAAATCAGAGTGAATCAATGCACATCCTCTGTATGAGTGTTGTTAGCGCATATATTACAGCTGAACATCCACACGGGTCATTACTGCAGTAGCAGCGCTGTGTTAAATCCAGTGGAGGATCTATTAGAACTCATTCAATTCAGTGCAAGTTTATTTATATGGAGCTTTTACAGTGTAGATAGTGTCAAAGCCACTCAATCTCATGGTTTATTACTCATTTTAAATAGTTTCTTCTATGAGATCTACACTATATTCAGAGTTCCCAATCCAACAGTTGAGTTCCCCTGATCTCTAATGAAGGGCTGTTTCACAGAGCAGAAGAAAGCTTTACTGAGCTGTCCACAGACATTTACAGTACAGAAGCTGAAGTTAACAAGCGAATGTGTCACGGCTGGTTAGGAGAATAACATGGAGAAATGATGGCGTGTTGTCATCTGTCGCTTCAGTTCAGGACTCAAACAAAGCTGCTCTGGAATTTACACCCAGCTGAATCTCAAAGGCTTTATTCATCTTTCCAATTAGACTTCGACATTTGATTAATACAGTAAATAACAATTCATTTACTAATCTGTACATTCCTAAAGTGCACCTACGATTGACTCTTCTCAAGCATAAGAACACCATCAAATGTTTGCAGATATTTCAGGATCTGAAACACAGTGCTGGAGTCAGATGTTCTGCTGTGGACATGCGTGTTATGTGCCGGAGCGGCTGTCTTTGTTTTGGTCTCTGTAACCCGCCCACTGCCAGTTAAGCCAATATTCCAGCACCCCGGGTTGCCAGATGGTGGAAAACAGCGTAGTTCATTCAATCAGTCAGGAATGCTCTTTCCAAAACGTGACCTCTGGTGGACAGTAGCAGACTCAGAGTTCCACATGAGGTCATTCATTCATTTTCTTGTCGGCTTATTCCCTTTATTAATCCGGGGTCGCCACAGCGGAACGAACCGCCAACTTATCCAGCAAGTTTTTACACAGCGGATGCCCTTCCAGCTGCAACCCATCTCTGGGAACACATGAGGTTATTAATGAGCAAATGATATAAATATTACGAGTGTGAACATTACGTGAGCAGGTCACACTGTAACCCCGTGTCCTAACAACACGCTACATGACGAGATACCAGGGGTGTAACGGAGTAGTTTTTCTCAGGAATTATAATTTACTAGGTAGTTTTAAAAATGTCTACTTTCACTCTCCTTTAAGTACATTCTCAGAGCAGAATCTGTACTGTTACTCCACTACTGTCCTCCATCCTGCAGTCACTACTGTATTCATGTCTATGGGGATTAGAGAAATCAGTCCTGTGATTCCTGTCCAATCAGATCACACACAGCAGGTAAATCCCCTCATAATGAACCACCTAAAGACATGGGTGAATTTTAATTGCACCAAACTGTTTGGAAGCATTAAAAGTGTCTAAGAAGATGTCTAAAATCTTTACATGCTTTGACCCAGAGACTGTTTAGATGCAGGTCACTGATGAGAGTATGACGGATGTTTACTGTATGATGACCCAAACAGCCTTAAAAAGCCAGCAGGCACAAGACGTCAACATGACTGTAGATAGATTCTTGTCGGCTTAGTCCCTTTATTAATTCGAGGTCGCCACAGCGGAGTGAACCACCAACTTATCCAGCAAGTTTTTATGCAGCGGATGCCCTTCCAGCCGCAACCCATCTCTGGGAAACATCCACACAGACGTTCACACACACACACACACACACACACACACTCATACACTACAGAAAATTTAGCCTACCCAATTCACCTGTACCGCATGTGTTTGGACTGTGGGGGAAACCGGAGCACCCGGAGGAAACCCACACGAATGCAGGGAGAACATGCAAACTCCACACAGAAACGTCACTGAGCAGAGGCTCGACCCAGCAACCTTCTTGCTGTGAGGCGACAGCACTACCTACTGCGCCACTGCCTCGCCCACGTCAGATAGATGTTGTACCCAAACATCATAGAGACGTTGCATTTAGTTTGAAATTGAAACTCAACTCAACGTCAGGCCAAAGTCACTGTCCAACATCCAACCTAAAATCAACCAAATATCAACGTCTAATGATGCTACAGCTTGATGTTTTGTTGATGTTAGCACTATGACGTCTATCAGATGTTGGATTTTGGTTGCCATTCCTTATGAATAAATGTCAATATCTGACGTCAGCATGACGCTGGTTTAAGATGTTGGCTCGACGTTGGATTTTGGTCACTTTCTAACAACCTAAAGTCAACCAAATATCAACATCATTTGACGTCATTATAGGACATTAAAATAACGTTGTCCTTAGACGCTGTTAGACATTGAATTTTGGTCACCTGACGTCAGAATCTAAATCTAACATGAGACTAAATGTTACGTTTACACACACGTGCACAGATTAGATGTAAATGCATCAGCTTTTGACAGTGTAATACTCACTGCTCACTACTCTTGAGTAGGGTTGTAACAATATACCGGTATGATGGTTTACTACGATTTGAACGTGCACGATTATCATACCATGAACAATTGCATATCAGCGGTTTTAACCCGAGACAGCCGCCCGCGGCTAAAAATAAGTATTGCTCTTAAATGTTTAATAACTTTTGATCCGCTGATCCGATTCATACAATTCAAAGATTGGCTTAAAGAAGAGAATCTCAGCTTTCCAGTGCTGTATCACATAACATTCACGGACTTTCAGAGGCTCCGGAATCAGTGCGGTTACGTCATCAAAATTTGACAACGCTGATTTGACAAAGAAACGCTCGTCACTGTGTCTCCGAACAAACCAGACATGATACATTGATGCATTGTCCCTCCTCCATGCCCAGATGGTTCAAACTCGCTATATCACAACCAATAAGCATAGTTTCGCTTTTGTTGTGGGACCAACATGAGCTTTTTGAACAACACGGAATGAGAGATAGGCATACATTTATGCGCGGCTAAATAAAACGCAAAAAAAAAGTTTTGCATGAAATAATTCTCATACTAAGTACTTTTGCATGCACAGCAGCACAGAAACATGACAAAACAGTGACACAGCAAAGACGAACTGCTGCTCTTGCTGTTTTCAAAAGACACAAATGAAGGTGCAGCTGTTTGTCTGCATTGCAGACAACCATATCCAAATCCATATCCACAGACAACCATATCCATGCTGGCACATAAAACCTGAGGATGTTCCATATTGAATCTAGTTTCGTTATGTAACTATTTATAGTATAGTAAATATTTATATCTATTTCTTACTGAGGATTTGCACCATGTTTATTTGGACTTTATTTGGACTTTGACACATTATTTATTATTTTCTTATTTTTTTATTTGTTCATTGTAAGTGGTGTTGTTTATAGTAACTAAAAATATATTATTTGGAAAAAGTCAAATTTGCTTCACTGTTCTGTTATTTTGTAACATTTGTAACATACCGTATACCGCCAAACCGTCAAACCGTGGTATTGTTTTAGACGATTATCATACCGTAAAAAATTCATACCGTTACAACCCTACTCTTGAGTACTTTAGAAAGGGCTACTTTTTACTCCTACTTTGAGTAATATTTACAACAGACACTTTTACTCTACTCACACTACATTTTTAGGCAAGTAATGGTACTTTCACCCGAGTATGAGTTTTTAGTACTCTTTCCACCACAGCGAGATGATTT